AGAGCCGTCCAATAACTATGGAGAGAACACGTCTGCAAATAACATGCCGGACTGTAGCTGGATATCAAATTCTCTGGAGCAAGATTCTGAGCAATATTTTCCAGCTGAGAGTGCCATTGTGGTGTCACCCAATAGCCAGTCGGCCCATCATGCAGACTGTGATGATGAATTTGATGATAATGTTAGCCCTGCTGCACTGTCCAAATCAAAAGTTGAGTACAGCTTTCAACCTGCTGTAGGGACTATTGTTCCTGAGAGTTTTGAGGAGCAGATGGTGTTAACCATAGCTGTTTCTCTGGTCGAGGTTTGATCCTCGACTAGTACACCGAGCATTGCATAACACTAGTTATGTTACCAAGAGTTCCTTGAGATTCTCTCCTTCCTCTATTTACACCTAAAAAGAATGTAAGTATGGAGGCAAAAAAAAAAATGTAAAAATGATTGCTGTGACTGAAGGTGGTTTGGTGATTCTGTTTTAAACAATTTTAGGTACCATCCTTGTTCATTTATGTAATAATAAATTTTTAAATTAATATGCCTTGTAATATTCTACAGCCGTGCATCATCTCGAATTTATTGTCGAAATACGGGCAATAATTTGAAAAACTTGAGAATCTTCAGAGAGGTTTCTTACTCATTGTTCGGGAACAAGGATTAGAGGCATTATCATAATGCACAGTTGAAAAATATATGTTCGGAGTTACTTTAAAAAAATGAATAACTTACCTATTCTTAAACTGAAAAAAGATTAGTTTTTGATCATGTCTTTTTTCAATACCCTACATTCTTTGATCCATGTGAAAGTTAGGGATGATAGCGTCTCTAAGGTGGCTTGGGTAGCTACTTAAAACTTTCATGAAGAATTCATGATAAAAGACATATAGTCTATTACGTACCGATTACATGAACACATAAGGATATGAAACTTGTACGTGAGGTGTTTTCAGTTAATATCATTTTTTTTGTAGGTTTGATGCGTATGTATCATGTCACCTGAATTAATATTGAAGACATTTATTCTATGTGAAGATTCGAATTCAAAAGATATCTTCATTTTACGCATTGAGGTTTTTGACATTTTTACGGGATATATTTTCAAACTTCATTCATTTTGAAGTGGTGGGGTGATTGTTAGAACATTTACAAAATAATATCGATTTTTGACCTTGTTGGATACGTAAAAGAATTTGCGTTAGTCCTAAAATCATCCAGGATAGCACGTGTCGAGACCGCTATGGGCTTGACAACGATAGTCCAAAGCTTGTGGGCGATCTGGCCGAGGCACATAGTTATTCCTACATGTCCGCTCACATGCTTGAGGCAATCACTCCCCTATTTGCACCAGAACATGAGAAATGTTCATGCTATTTACCATTTTTTTCAGTTCTTTTCGCATCAAATTGGTTGTGTAACTGTAAATTTGAAGTGATGTGACTATGGTGAATTATTGTAACTCCTGGTAACCATTGTTTCACATCTATGAGGGATTTGTGATTCTCGTTCGAGAGATACTTTTGATATATACATATTGGCATCATGCAAGAACAATGTCATTTGCTCCTCTTGATTGTCCTACATAGTAAATCAATCACTTGCATCATTTCTTATAAAAAATTGTTTATACTCTGTAACTCTTGAAAGACAAAAGTATATACACCTCTTTAATCCTTGATGTTCAGTTTATCTCAGAATATGTACAACTCCGACAACACGATGACTTCATTGTATCTTAGAGGCATATTTGTATCTTGAGTATATAACTGGATTGGTGGGGACAAATAAAGTCTTTAAGGAAATAGCCAACACATGACTTGAAGCCTGGTTCTTGATTGTTTGATGTTGTTCAAAATTCTATAATATTCTTCTACTTCTTTGGTATGATTTTTGAAGGTTTTCACAGTGCTACTTGGAGATAACTCACTGGATTGGTGCTTAACATTCAATCTCACACTCATGCACTTTTGAGGAATTAATTACTCCAATGGTTACTGAACTTATGTCCATTTTTTTGACTGATCACTGAAGTTTAAAATATCCAATTTTGGTCATTGAACTTAGGTCCATGTTTTCGATTGTTTACTGAAATTTAAAATGTCAAATTTTGACAAATGAACTTTAGAAAATATTGTATGTTACTCGCTAGCATAAATATAGAATTTTAAAAAATGTCGAATGTATAGTAAATAATGTACAATATTTTTCAGTGATCATATTTGAAACTTTAGTGAGCAATCGAATACATGAACTTAAATTCAGTGATCATAATTGAATATTTTAAACTTTAGTGATCAATCAAAATATGGACCTAAGTTCGATAATAAATACAACAATTAACTCCACTTTTGAGTCTTTTGATATTGCATTCGATTCGTAAAATGTATAAAATATTCAAAGATATTTATGCATGTGGGGAATGAGTGGATGGTCTTCCTCCACACACCTAATGAGATTTGGCCCGTTTGAATTTTATTACATTAAAATTTCGTTTTTCATTTTTTTTATTTTTAATTACACAATCTTTTATAAAATAATATTACATACAAATCGAAATTTTTTCCTTCTTTATCAACCACTCAATTTTTTTTTAAAAAAAAAGTACAATTTCACCTCTTTTTATTTCCAAAATATGGGGAGCAAATAGGACTTGGCCAACCCTGCATCTATAATGCAGCCTAGCATTTTTCTCTCTATACAAGTAGTGTAAGGCAGTGTTTGATAGCCATTTGAATTTCATGGAAAATGAAAATTCAATTCAATTTCATCTTCCACTTTTCTATTGTTTGATAGTAATTATTTTCCCTATAATTCATTTTCTCACTTTGTTGCCACTCAGCCAAATTTCAGTTTTTTGATGAATTTGAATTCTTACCAAAATGATAAGAATCCATTTTCCTGATTACTGTAATGATTTATTATTATTATTATTTTTTCAATGAAAATAAATTCTAAGAACTATTGTAAAAAAATATTTTCCTTTAATTGACAATTTTTATGTGAAACAAAGTCAAACGAACACCAAACAATAGATGATTTTCTTGATTTTTTTTACAATGAAAACAAATTCTATCCACAATATCAATAATTTTTATCCCGTTAATTGACAATTTTCATATAAAATAAAGCCAAGCGAACACCAAAATATTTTTATTTCAATATTTTTCAAGTAAAAAATTATATCAATCATATACTATTATTGACAATTCCCAAAATAATAAATTTTAGTTAATTTAATTCCCTGCAATTTATTTTCTTTCTACTTAAATTCCATTTTTCAAATGAACGGACCCTAATTATTTTGGATAAGGGAAATTACACAGCCTAGCATTTTTCTCCGTTGGATTGGACTGTTTAGAGATAGAACTTTTCAGATAGAAAGAGAATATTTACAAATAAATAGGTTGACAGGAATAGACGTGACATTTTGTCACTGAATTTAAAAAACAAAAAAAATACAATCATGACAGACAATGAGATTTGGCCCCTTTCTAAATTTCATTACATTTTATTTTTCTATTTTCTATTTTTAATCACATAATTTTCCGTAAAATGATATTAAACGTAAAAAATATTGTTCCACTCATTTTTATTTCCAAACTGCGGCTTGGCCAACACTGCACCTATAATGCAGCCTAGCATTTTTTCTGGACAAGTAGTGTAATGGGATCGTAGTTTTATATAAGGGAAATTACACACAGGCTCTTCAAAGTTCCAACTGCACTATCGAGGGGATCGTAATTCTAAAACTGTGAAACAAATCTTTGATCCAAGCATGTCCTCTACACATGACTACAAGGTACGTATCTTGTTGAAGGGCAAAAACAAAAGAAAAGAGAAGAAAAATAAATGAATGTAGAATTAAAAAAAAAAGAAAAAAAAAAAGGATCATCTATCATCTTCCATCTACACCCCGACAGCAGCACTGGTAGTTGGAGTCCGCAACTCTCCCAACTGTTCCTCGTCAGGTTAATTTTAAAGAAATAAAATTGACTAAATTAGCTTTACAATATCGAGTCAGAAGGCTTTAACTAACTTTAAAGGATTAAGTCCAAAAAGACATACATAGTGCATGTAGTAGTCCTGCACCAGAAACTCCAATTCTGGAATCTAAAAATTGAAAAAACGAACAGAAAAATTTAAGGAAAATGGAAAAGTACTACCTGGTCCCATAATTTGGATTAGCAGCAGCTTAGGAAATGAAAGAATTTAGAGCAGACGATAATGACAGTTTGTTGGTGACATTGGCCCCGAAGGGCGGCGCCGCCACCATTGATGGTATCAAGATCGAGTCGAGCCCCTTCAATGCACCTGTTGAAGTTGAAAACTTGATTTTGATACCAAAAATGGTGGTAGCGCAACCTCTGCACATCGACCCCAAAGTCACCAGCAGACTATGATCATCGACTATCTTTGTTGAATCTTGTGCCGTCGCGACGGTGTACTTGCAATCCTTTCTTTATACAGAAGTCTGAAGCCTAATTTCTATTGCTTTGATGAAATTATTATAACGGTTGTATACTTGTCTTTCCAAATCTTGTACTAATTTGTAGTACTGAAAACAATACATGTTTCATAGAAGAGTACTACAATTGTTATGCTTTGAATTTAACGATAAAAAGGGATTGAGTGTGTGCCGTTTATGTACATTTGTACTTCGTACTACGATCCAAGTAGCAGTACAAATGCTTGCCGACAGTAGAGGATAGGGTTTCATTGTATAGACATTTCCTAGTAAATCGACTTCATTATATAGACATTTCCAAGTAGCAGTACTTCATTAGTTTAAACTTTTCTTTTTAAAATTACAAAACAACCGATTCCATCAAATATTTTAAAACTTACTTTTTATAATGGAGAAAAAGAATTATTGATTTTGAAAAGTGTACATCCAATATGATAAACAGATTTCAAGATCTCTCACGTCCATGCAAGCCTTGTTCCTGAACATTTGTGCGGTTGGTCTCTTGTCGGAAATATCAATAAATTATAAGCATTAAGTCCCCTGTTTGATGCTCATTACCTAAAATGAAAATGGGGGGAATAATATTTTTTAGAAAAATAAGTGGTTGAAAAAAAAGGAAAAGTTTTCGATTTACATGTAATATTATTTTATGGAAAATTGTGTGGTTGAAAATAGAAGAGAGAAAAATGGAATATAATGTAATTTAATTTAATGGGGATCAAACATGAGCTTTAAATGTCAATACCATATTTTTATCTAAAATGTCTAGCTTGTGGACTTGACTTTGTGGGCTAGAAGTGGCAACGATGGAAGTTAATTTTCACTTCAATCACGTATCATAGATTGTTTGAGAAATCTTGCTCTGAATTCGCTTTACAACCTCGCTTCCTTCGTGTTTCGGCTCATCCTCACAGGGTCAATTAGTCAACCTAAAGGGGTTCGCCCTGGCGGTGATTTGTGTGCGGGCCCACGATTGCTAGCCACGTAGGACATTTGAGGGTCGTATGGATGACGCGTAATAGGAGTAGTTATCATTAGGGCCTTTAATCTTTTTGAAATAGAGTATCTCCGCCCTTTGATGATAACGATATAAAGAGTTTATAGCAAGTGAGTTTTCAATAAACGGAATCCATCTGTTTAATAATTATAAAGTTAATTCTCTTTCAAGTGTGACTGTCTTCTTTGAAATCAAAGAATTTTGGAAAAGTGTCTTCCCACTTTTTCCGATATATAAAATAGTGGATTCTAATAAGTCGATTTTTAAAAAATGTCGAATCAAGTTTTCTTTTGTCCAAACCCTTCGAAGCCTATACACCAATTCTCTACACAAAATAAGTAGTTTAAGATTTTCAAATTTAATTCCGACTATTTAGTTACTTTTATACATATCTATTACTTAGTGAATTTTAATTTATACTCATGTTATGAATATTTGATATTTTAGTTATGTTGTATTTTTGGTTATGAAGGCAATTAGGAGAGCACAATTCCACGTGAATTTGAAATGAAATAATTAGGATTTTGCTCTATAAGCATTTGAGAGAAGATGTTGGTGAATTCAATTGACTCTTTCTAGAATATTGTCATATACAATGTAGTTAAAAATAATATAAATGCATCACTCAAAAAAGTTGTCAAATTGTCATGTAAAAATATCGAAATATTATAGAATTGAGGAATATTTCATAATTAAGCATTCAATATTTAAGTTACACAGTAATTTTTGGTGAAATTATAATCCTTTTTCCACAAATGAAATATTATATTTTTTTATGTGAAGATACAACAAGTGTTTATTATTAATCTGTTTACGTTGATCATAGAATATTACAGCCACCTAACACAATATGTTTATTATCGATGACAATTATGGTTTAAAAAGAGTATACTTTAAAGTTCTCAATCGTTCAACGAACTACTTTTGGATAATTGATCGGAATTGAATCAATTATTCTCATATATCCATTAGGTATAAATTTGATTAAAATAATCTATAAATGTTGAATTCTAGATGAATCAAACAACGCAATGTTTGATAGCCATAATTGATCGGAATTGAATCAATTATTCTCATATATCCACTATGTATAAATTTGATTAAAATAATCTATAAATGTTGAATTCTAGATGAATCAAATAAGGCAGTGTTTGATAGTCATAATTGATCGAAATTGAATCAATTATTCTCATATACCCATTATGTATAAATTTGATTAAAATAATCTATAAATGTTTAAATGTTGAATTCTAGATGAATCAAATAAGGCAGTGTTTGATAGTCATAATTGATCGAAATTGAATAAATTATTCTCATACATCCACTATGTATAAATTTGATTAAAATAATCTATAAATGTTGAATTCTAGATGAATTTGAATGGAGATTTTCTTATCTTATTACAATAGGACGAACGATTTGACCTGATGCATATTAAAGCCGTCGGGCTCACTGGTGTGAGAGCTGTAGGGCCCATCCAATTGATTGGTCCTGCCTGTAGATATAGGGATTTGCTGCTCTGCCAGGTTTTAAAACTAGGGCTGGGCAAATCTCCCGAACCGAACCGAACTCGATGGTTCTTGTCAAATTAAATACCCGAACGGGTATTTGAATTGAGAATCGACGGGTACGGTTCGGTTCTCGATTCTAGACCTAGAACCGAATAAGAACCGAATCTTTCTAATTTTTTTATATTGAATAAATCATATTATTTTAATTTTAATTTTTTCTAAACAAATTAACAAATTAACAATTTCTAAATTCAAATTTTTGGCCCAATAATTTGTTTCATTTGTAATTTTTTTTATTTTTGGCCCAATTACCCATTTTATTGTCTCATTTTTTAGCCCAACAAGATCCAACCCACTAAATAATCCTAAACACCTACACTAAATTGCGTAACGCTGTCTCGACTCTCGCAGCCTCGCTGACATTCCAAAACCTATACAATCGTCGACCGACGCTGTGACTTCCGATCGAAACTGTGACCTCCACCAACCAAAATTTTGACCGTAGCGATCATTTGAATAAGGTAGTCTACTAGTCTCTGACATTTCAAAACCATTGAACGTGTCATTAGTTATATTTATATAATGCCGTTATAAATGTGAAAAAATTTAATTATAGTACAGAACCGAACGGAATCGAACCCGAACGGTTCCATAATTATATTTGGACCCGACGGTTCCATTTACTAAATACCCGAAAATTCTGGTTTGGTTCGGTTCTCTTTAGAACCGAACCGAACCGACCCGCGCCTACCCTTATTTAAAACCAAGCATTGAAGCACTTGTTTCCTTTTCTTTTCTTTTTCTTTTTTTCATTTTTTGTAATCTATCCAATAGCCAAATGAAACGTGTCATATGTTCCAAACCCTGAATTTTAACCCTATTAGTGTAGCGTGGTTCAATGATATAAATTTTGAGTTAGTTCTACCCATTTTCTAATAAATTTCAAATTCAATAGTCCTTAATGCTTATAACAACTTTACAAATGGCGACTCGACCTAAAATAATAATGTAGAATCATGCTATGGGCAGTAACGGATTTAGTATGTGGCCAGCTAGGGCAGCTGATTCGTCAAGAAGAATTTTTTTTTTTTTGTTGGTAATAAATAAAAGATTTAGGTTATATAATTAATGGTTTATTTTTTTTTTCAAATATTTCTTTTGCTTAATTGGTTAGAGCTTTTTTTTATATATTGTGAGTCTTGGGTTCGATTCCTTCCCCTCCATTTCATTGTGTAAAATTTTTATTTCTACAATATTTACCAAAATCAATTCCCTAAAGAAAGGATTTGAACCTATAACTTCTAAAGTTAGGATGATTGGAAGCTTAATCATCATAGGAATGGTTGAATTTTGAATTTTGAATTTAAATTTAACAAAATAATATATATTAAGACTTTACGAAAGTTTTTTTTTTTAATTTTGGTTTTAAATATTTTATGCTTTAATAATTTATAAGATATGATTTATGAGTATTGAGTTTTAATTTATATGTTATTTGAGAATTTATTTATTGTGAATTGTGATATTAAAAATTAATTTGAGTATCGTGAAATGTGAATATGTGATTCATGAAAATTAAAAATGAGTGTTGAGAATTGAAAATTGAAACTTTAATTATATTTTAAAATTAATTTTAATTACGTTTAATCTTTGATTAACGTTCAATTCTCATACTAATTATGAAACGATTTTTTCAACTAAATTTTAATCTAGTTCTTGTAGTGGTGTATTTAATCTTTCAACTACTTTTAGTCAAGCGAACGATTTGTTAAACATTGATAACACAAAGAAGTCTTATGTATTATGTAATTTATATTATTTCGGATTGTATGGAAATATAATATGATAAAATATACGATTTTTACGCTTTAATATATTAACATATAGATCGAAATTTTTTTAATATTATTTAATTTAATATTAATAAACGATATCGCTATACGGCCATTAACTATCGACAGATAACGATCGCCCTAGTTGAGTCGAAATCCTGGATTCGCCACTGACTATAGGTACAACATTATTCATATCATGGTTCATAATACACTCACATGCAAGAAATATGGTTCACGATTAAAATAATCACGAACCCCACTCACAACATGGACGGTACAAACAGCAATACCCAATAATATATGACCTGACTTGTCGTCGTCAATTATAAGATGTTAAAATCAATTAACACAAGTAAAATTCCAAATCTGTCTTTCATCAAATAGTCTAATTCTATCCGTGACTTGAGAAAAAATGGGAAAGTTGGGTCACGGGAATCAATCTTGCTCATATTTTATTAAAGTGATCCCAAAAGATTGACCACTCATTAAAGGTAATTATATTACTACTATAAATTTTACTACATGTATCACAATTTTCTTATTTACTAAAATATCCTTAAATAAAATTACATTATTAGAATTTTAATATATTTTTTAATTAATAAATTATTGTTACACAACAAATATAAAACCTAATTTATTTCGTTCTTTTTCCTCAACATCTCATTGTTCATAGTTTCTCCGACGACTTTTTTCTTCTTCCACGACGACAAGATAATATGTTCCCTCATGGTATATAGATAAACTGTAAATGAATTTGTGTATATGTAGGTGCGTCAATTTTCGTAGATTTTTGTCTATGAGGCATATGAATTTCCAAAAGTTGTTCTTAATCAACAAGGAGTTTTTATTGTTATATTGTATCTTTTTACAGGATTTAAATTTTTTATAATTTATCATAATTCAATTTATTTGTCCTAAATGTTAGGAAAATGATACTGCTGACCAAGTATGAATAAATCGAATATTAAATCTATATCTGTTAATTCAATTATGAAACATGTCCAGTTTATCAACACATATGTCATAAATGCTTCCTCAAGTTGGGTTTTATATGTGTCCGATGAATTATTAT